ACTACCTAGCTTTTGGCGGTCACTTGAGGATTTGTTTGGCCCTTGTACCCATGGGCTGGCCTCCGGGCCACCCTCAGGCCCCATTTGTCTTGTCCTGCTCGGAATAATGTATTTAACCTTACTTATGGCTTCTTTTACCTTTTGGAATGCCTTCGGACGTCATGAAATTTATCACTTGAGCGACTTTTTGCATCAATATTTTTTCGCAATTTTAATATATGCACACCCCACTTTGGAAATTCGGGTTACTCTACCTTTTTTATTGTTCTTAGCAGTTTAGTGAGTACTTTGAAAGGTCTGTGCAATTGGACTCAAAGAATTTTGACCTTTTGAAGTTTCTTTAATTGACATTTTCCTTATTTTTATGGGGATATCACTAATAACCCCAATCGTATGACGTTCAGTTTTTTGATTTCGTTGTGCTTTTTGTAATGAAACCTAAATAATGCGATTTATAATTGTAACATTTTACCTTTTTTGGTGGTCTTGCGCGCCTTCTGACTGTCGGATCTTTTGTCTATATGTGTTTTGTCTGTTAGCAAATTTAAATTTCAGTATGTCGACTATGGATGTTGATGAAGTTCCCGCTCGGCCCTCTGTTACTCCAGCCAATAAGCGCTTTGAAATTAAGAAGTGGAATGCAGTTGCTCTGTGGGCGTGGGATATAGTTGTTGATAACTGTGCTATCTGTCGAAATCACATAATGGATTTATGTATCGTCGTTTCCATAATTGTGGTTGTGTTCTAGGTATCGAATGTCAAGCAAACCATGCTACTGACGGGACCGAAGAATGTACAGTAGCTTGGGGCCATTGCAATGTATGTTGCAACTAGGCTTTATTTTTAGCACGCTTTTCATTTCCATTGCATATCGCGTTGGCTTAAGACGAGGAATGTTTGTCCCTTGGATAATAGGGAATGGGAATTCCAAAAGTATGGTTCCCTTATTGTTTTACGCATTCTTAAGGTATGGACACTAATTGGTTGCATCTGTGCCTTTGGATGGTTCTGTTTCGTTCATGGATTAAATAGAATTATTGACACATCTGCCTTCTCGTTTTTGTTCTTACCATCTTACTCGCTTTTGTTAACCACAAGAAAACTTTAGCTCTATGGGAAATCTTTGCGCACGATGTTGTGGATATGAATCAAATGAAGTAGGTGTAAGTCTTGCTCGAATGTTTTCCCCTTTTAAGCGTACATATTGCAGTAAGCGCAAATATGGTTTTTCGTAACCGAATTCTAGGCGAATTTTTGTGATTTAAGGTAGAGGAACAAGAGACACAAAGGCTTGTCGAAGAGCCAAGGCAAACCTATGAAGCAACTCAGCATGCTTACACGAAGTACATCCCTTTTTTGTACCTCTAACTTCATCTCATCGATCGACGCCTTTTTTGCACTGATGGGAAAAGGACATTCTTGTTAGTTTAATTTAAAAGTTATCAACAGGTTCTACGGACTGCTTAACCTTGTCTGAGCTCTTGCTAATACGTACAAATTTTGTTGCCCTTTAAGAGTACTTTGCCGAGAGTCAATTATTGCATTCTGGATTTCTCTGTCGATTCCTGGCTTAATTTGGCGCCATTGGTCTGACACACGTATCCTGATAGGTTTTCTTGACAATTTGGTTGTTTTTATGTCAAAATTTACAAGATTTTCTGCTCTTCTACCTGCATACGGGTTAGATGGTCGTTTTTTCCCATTCAGTGCTCTAACTTCCAACGAAACTATGCTGCAACCGGAGGGTGATGTGACGGACATGATGTCAAGTATCCTCAAAGTCGTGGAGACGTAGGTCTTTATCGCGGTGTTATGCTTCTTGCTTTTCTTGATTAAATTCTTTTCTTTGTAGACAAGTTGTTGATGCTGGTGTGACAGACGTCAATTTTCTTGAGCAGCAGGATTATGATGCTCGTGCTGAATACTACGCGTAAATCGCCTTGCTGCTTTTATCATTATCAATTTGTATCATCAATTGCGGTCTTGCGGGCTATGTTATAGTACTGCACTTTTGCGATATGCCGCAACATTTTTTCCGAAATCTGATCAGCAGAATGAGCTCAAAGCTTTCCTAAAACAATGGCACATTAAGTTTTAACAGATCATTTATCACGACATCACTTCTACTCCTTTGTGATGGCTATTTTTTATTCCAATACCGAGGAACAAGTCAAAACCGTAACAGTAGGGTTAAAGGCAGTCATTGAGTTGGTTATTTAGTGCACGTTCTCGAGATATCTGTACGACTACCTAATGTTGGCGCTTAAGCGCTGCCATATTTACTTTATGCATATAGTAACGAAGGCCTCTGCTAGATGTCTTGTCAGAATGAGCGTACATACATGGCCGTGGAATCGTTCGCATTGTGCTCCTTCGGTCAATGGCATTGCTGTCATCAGAAGGATTTACTCTTTCATTTTCAGTACACAGTTATCACAGAAAACTGATCTTCCTGATTCAATGCTCATCACACTCGCCGCCTCTGGAAATCCATCTGCGATTCTGGCGGATAAAATCCTTCGACAGTCTGAAATTAATGAGGTGAGGTTGTTTTATTTCTCCGAGTTTGCCGATGGGATATTATTGCTGTTTCACAATTGGTTCCTCATTAAAAGGGGAACACACATATTCCACTATTTTCAGTTCCCATAAGTATCCTTTTGGCTTGTCTTTCTATTTTTCAATTAGTAGGTGTATTTAAAGCTATTATCATATTCATTTGGTGTATGAAGAGCAATTACAGTTGTTATAAACCCTTGTGTGCATTGGACTTGTAAAGTACGCTTCCATCTGTTGGAAATGTGAATTAACTTTGGGGAGTATAATGTTAGACACTAAAACTCATCATGTATGCTTGATTGGGAAGAAAAATGGCATCTTTATCTCTCCTGTTTATTAAACTGATAAAACATTTGTCTTGTAAGTTTGTTTTGTCGAGGAATCTCCTAAGTGGATCAATTCTTGTAAGCATCTTGATAGAGAGTTTTCTCCCAATTTTTTTTGTTTCGGTAGTGCGACCTTGTACACTGAAGCCAGACGCGCGAGAAATGTCGTTTAAATTGTATTTGGGTGTTGAGTGAATTGCTGATACTGCAAGCGTTAATCTGTTGAAAACAACTCTTTAGATTCAAAATCTTGCAAGCAGGATCGCCAAACTTATTGGGGCTATGTACCCGCAGGTGACAGAAAGTTTTGTTGTGCATTTAGATCCCGTGTGAATATTGCTTGTAATCAATTTTGTTCGCTGTAAATTTACTTTCTGATGATAAATCATATTTTGCTACGATATGTACGCAAATTGTCTTACGCACTGAAGAAAGTCAATAAATTGTTTTTGCTGACTGACTATTCGATAGAGGATGAAATATGCAACGCAGGCATGCTCTTTATATTCGGTCAGTCATAACAGTTAATGGAAAATTCTCTGAGCAGAAAGTGGTGTTCCGGATGGAATGTATGTCAAACAAGAGTCGAAAAGAACGCATGGGTTAAAGGAGGGTGAATGTCCACGTCCGTTGGCGTTTAGCATTCGCCCGAAGGTTAGGCGTATTTCGCTCTGCATGTCCTCATCTCTGTATAAGGAGGCGGACTTCACTGTGTTGCGTAGATGGAAGGAAGTCCTCGTGTTACTCTTGCTAAAATGTTAGATGAGATACCTCTGCCTCGGCCTAACTTAAATTATTTCAACAAGTATTAATAAATTAGATTCAAAGATGCCAGTGGCGGGAAGTTGGACAATTATTATCCAGGCGGATCTGGAATTTATCCTCCAAGGTTGTCAACTTTGGGTGTAATCCGTGGAAACTTAGGACTAGGTCTACAAAACTGTCTTGATGTACTTGTATAACTACGGCTCATGCAATTGTTTAACCAAAGGTTTGGTTGTAATAGTGCGATACTACTGCGCTGTGCTTTGGTGCTTCAGTCAGAAGTGTTTCGAGCGATTGCTTGTGCACAAGCATTCAGAAACATCAATCACCAGTATGCATGTGCAATTATTTTCACTGGTGTGTGTAGGATCCTAAGGGTTTCGAGGCTGCAACGAGCCAAAGTAGAATAGCGGTGGAACCATGGAATCGCGTGTCTTATCGTGAGTGTCCAAGTCCAAAAGGATGTCTTGAGGCGGATTCAGATGCTGCATTAGTATATTTGCGCAAACGTCATTGGGTGTAGAGCAATTGCTATTTCCTAGCACCATCACCAATGCTAGATTTGGACTTCGCTAAACATCAGCATCACCCACCACGAGTGTCTGAAATATTAGCGGATTTCTTGGATCACGATTGTTCCCAAATGCATAAGACCCCAAACCCAATCACGCAAACTCATCAAGGTAGCGAGACCAAAGAACGTTTAACTGGTTAAAAACCTGTTCTAGATAAAAGGCCATGGTGTACGTGTTTACACTATGGTTTTCTCGCGCTCAAAATACCTTGTAATGCTCCCCTCCCCTTCAAAGTGCTGCTACTTGATGAAGTATAGAAGGACTGGAGGTTCTAAGTATCCTCGAACTAGGTAACCTTTGTTGACAAGACTCACGTTTGAAGATATCCCACGTCTCAAACAGCCCATATGCATTTAATCGTACATCTTGATTGTCGCTCTTCGAAGAGGGGATATCCTCCTATTCCATCCGATCGACTCAAACTTTGAAAATTATCTTAATGTGTTGCAACGAGCTTAGAAAATTTAACTTCGAACTCTAATACACCATAAGGTTTCCTTGTTAATTGCTCCTTTGATAATTTTTGGCTCGAGAATTGGCTAATGTCGGATCGGCAAGGATTGAGAAGAAATGGTGAATCCTTCACTGGTAAGAACAGGGCAGGATAAAGCATTGTCAAATAGGCCGAGGGAATGTCTGTACAGTTACTCACACCTGAATGAGGTTTAAATAACTTTGCATTACATTTTTCTGTATCTGTATCTCTTGATCCGTGTCTATCAATTTGCCCCAAAAATTTGGTCTAAAACACTTTCAATTCCTGGCATCAGCTTCCATAATTAATGCGTTCATTTCAAACATGGCAACAATCTTCTTCCTGGTAGTTGTGACGGCCTCTCTAGAGCGCACCACCGCTTGCAACTGCTTGCAGGCCTGTTGTTAGCTGAAACTTATTGCAGTGATGATATTCACGCCGGTGTGAGGTTTGTAGTGATGCTACAACAGGCGTATGTTTCAAATGGAAAACAAATTCCTGTCAAAGCCAACCTGGTCAGACTTTCCCATGTTTTCACATAGCCGAATTGCTAGAGGATGCAACAACGTATTTTCCAGGACTTTTCAAGTTCTGGCACAACGTACCTAAAGCGAATTGTCATTAGTCTGGAAGTGTTTGTGAAAGTGTAATGCAGGTGAAAAGACCTCATACTAAGCGGACAGACCAAAAGTTGCACCAGTTCAATTTCAGTTGTCTGCAATGTCGAGTTATCGAAGTAAATTCTTGGCATTTTTTATTGGCATGAATAATTAGGCCATGACTAATTTGAAGTTTCTCAGTCAACAACATATGCCTACACCACTTAGAATAATTTCATTCGATGCATTAATGGATAATGAGCTCGTTTCTTTTATTATTACCATTTTTCTATGCGCGTTTGGCACTACGTAAGTGCGTGTTCAGACGGGGAAAGCGGCTTACCTCGTGAGGACACAGTGGGGACAAGCGCTAGGGTTTGTGTGCCTGCTAAAGCAGCGATGGCAGTTGGACGACATCATCGTAGCTAGAGTTCGATCACCCCATGAGGACACGTTCACCAGGCCAATGAGCGTGAAACAATCGCCCAACCAATGATGGGCTTAGTGAGGTTAACGGCTAGGCACCTTTCTACTTAAGGCTAGAGCCGAAACGGTTGTCATCTATTCGCTAGGATGGCTGTTTTCACACAGCAAGCATTTGTGAAGAAAAGTAACCACGATGTCAAATCTAGGAGTAATTTCTACCCGGTTGGTGTTTTCTGAGGAACATTAGATTGTCCTCAATGGTCAGGGCATCACCGGGTGGTTATTACGCCTTGGTATATGACAGCATGCGCCCAACTTTTCTCTGCATTTCACACAGTCTTGCGCTCAGCAAAGTCGAGTGGAGCTGCATTCGTCCTTCAGCAAAATGCGAATCTGTGTTCCGCCTTCGGCTAAAATGAGCCATAAGAGGACTCCAAAACAATGTGATGACTTCGATGTTTTCTGGCGTAAGAGTGCTGGAGTAAGGAAGATTACCCCAAGGAAGCATGCATGCAGGTACTCTATCAATGTAGGGTCTGTGTAATCAAGGTTTGGCTATTAGATTTGTAAGGCTAAGAAACAAGCATTTTATGTTTCGTGGAGGGAATTCAAGATCTGATTTAAACTTCCATTTGTTTACATACATTTGGTGGTCTATTTCAAGATAAAACGAATTTTATAAGTAGGTAGAACAACCAATTGACGATAGAATGCTCGATATCCGTTGCGTATTGGCTATATATTCTTCTTGTTGGCTTGTACATTCCATGCAAGTTTAATCGTCCCATCCACCCTTTGTCGTGGGCAAATTTCATCGAGGATATCCACAACTCTGCCTTGATCATCGAAGGTCACTCCTCTGTTCGGTCGACTTGCCCAGTAAGGCTTAAGGATGACAAATTTGTTTTGAGTCAGCGTAGTAGGGGAACTTTAGAAATTTGATGAATATTCAACTTAGTGTTGCACCTATTTCTCGCAGTTTTTTGACAAATGGTTTATCACATTTAGCATCCAATTACCACCACAGGGAGTGACTGGCTCAACCTTCCTGCCTAGACTAAATATCGACTTTTCACGGTCTGAATCGTATGAAAACCATTGTAAGAAATGCTAGTCGTTAACATATGGCTCTTTAAGAATTACTAGTTGAGTTCTGACCAATTTCTAACACAACTACATGCAGCCACCCACAAATTTCAACACAGAATAAATCTGAAATGCAAAGCTACGCAAGCTCTCAGTCGAGTCGACGGATGCCAACGAGCATAAAATTGACAGCAGCAAGCGTTGACTAAAAGAATACGTACATTTTGCAAATCGTCATAATGGTTTTTATGTTTGCTGGAGTTGAGAGCGTTTGCACGATACTTGAGGTTGGGCCTCTTCGGACCAGAATGAAGTGAAGACGATTTCATTACGTGCTGCCCTGAAAAGTGTTTACATGATCGTGCACATTTACAAATGTAATGCAGGTGTAAATTGTTACATCAATCTGGGGTGAGCTAACTGGTTGAAAAATCAGAATGTAATGTGATATGATTATTAAAACACTTCAAATTTTCAAACTGATTATTTACCATAAGAAGGTGAGTGCAAGGCATATCCTGGAGAGATGCTTGACTTTGGGATCGTTTCATAATGGGAACTTGAGAAAGGTATACGTGGTAAATTTGACGATTTATTCTTTACTGCAAACACCCACCAGTCACTCACGTATCCAAATTAAGTTCGCTAACGTCGCATAGGTCAGAGACACCTGAACATCCGGCGATGTACGCATTGCTGTCTATATCTTCTCCAGCTTCAGATTCCTCCATTGAATCCAGCCTGATTGGAAGGATGAAAATTTGAGTGAAAAGGGTACATAGAAAATTCTGACGTTAACGGGACTCAAGGTCAGCTAATTGCGATTTCGTTTTTGGATAAGACTTACCCTAGGTAACCTTTTGCACCCTCTATAGCTTCATTGACAACTGCTCCTACCAACCTCGTAAACTCGATATCTTTATCCGATGCATTCTCGGGTACTTCGATTAAAGATAAATAATTCTATTTGGTTCTACTTTACCAAAGTATTGCAGCATACCTTTATGAGAAGACTAAGTTCTCCAACGAACTCGAACATTGTGTAAGATAGTGTCTCATCAGCAGCTGATGCTTCCTTAATCCTGTCTTCACATTTTTGCATCACCTCTAGTTCTAGGTTGCTATAAAATTCTTCCAGAATTTCAACCTCGTTTAGGAAGCGTCTATGACATGAAAGCTCAGTACGGATGGACAAACCTAAGCACGTCCATTAAGGTTGACAACCTAATAGAATTCAACATCATACGTGTTTACATAATAAGAGGACCACTGTTAACACAAATGGGTTCCAAACATTCTCAACGTAATGTCGCACAACATTGCCCAATTGGAATATTAATTAGGTTGTCATCAAAATCTCTAAGCCTATGCTACATATTTAATAACTACAAA